ACTGTCAGCACAGGCAGCAGGAATCCTGCTGCAGACTTCTCTGGAGCTCCACCACAGCCTGTACTGTCAGGGGAAGAATGGCTTCCAGGGAGTCTCCACAGGTATTGTGCAAGGTCCTCCTGGTTTACAGCTTCCGAGCGGCTCTCATCACCCCAGTCCACAGAACCTCTGACTCCTCAGGCTTAGTCTGCATTCTCATGTTCTCCTAGTCCTTGTTCAGCAGCTGCTCCTCCGCTGACTCTGGACCTTTCTGGTTCTCAATGGCAGGAGCAAGAGTGACCCGTTGCATGGCATGTATTCCCAGGGGTTTCTCCATGTTTGAATGATTCACACACGTCTGTGGGTGGGCATCTGCAGCCAGTGCATGGTGGGCCAATTGTGTCACTGTTTTTCTGTGGTTGTTGTCACTGTTTTTCATGGTTGTTCTCAATTGAGCGGCAGCGGCTGGCCTGAGGGCCGGCACAACAGCACTCGCCGCTGCGTGGCTCCCCGTGCTCCTGGGCCTCTCCTTCCAGGCTCCTACGAGGCAGGGAGCAAGCTGGTAGGAAGCCCGTTGGCACCTTTTTTTTTTTTTTTTAAAGGTACTGGGAATTGAACTTAGGACCTTGTGATTGCCAAGCAGACACTTGTGCCACTGAGCTATATCCCCAACCCCTTGGTGCACTATATTTGTGCTGTTTATTACCTGCCCTCTGCTTTCTCTTCCTGCTAGGCTGGCTAAATCCTAGCCAGGCTTAGATTTCAATTTGCAGAAGCATTCTTTGCAGAAATGCTGTCCTGACCAGTGTCTGGGACAGCTGCACGTATGTGTCCTTAGTATTTGACATATCCCCCTGGCATTGCAACTGTCTCTTGCCTGCACATTCTCTTCAGGACCATGAGCTTCCTGAAGGCAAGCACCATGTTTGTCTTGTTCTTTCCTGTACTTCCAGTACCTGGCAGAGCCTGTGTGTTCAACAAATGTGTGGGGTGGGACTGAAACGAAGGGGATCACCTTCTTTTTTGTCCCATTTATTCATAGTAATAGTCAGGGTGATAGTCAATCTCCTCTGTCATCCTGTAGGCTCTCTTAGTCTCTCATTCTGTCTTCATAAATAAGCTGATCACAGCGTGAGATTTCTGTACATACAGTTGTTTGGAGTTAGCCTCGTACCCATGTAATTCGGTGCCTTTATACTTTCCTTTGTGGCAGTGGGATATCATCTGTTTCTGTGAAGGGATTTTTGACTTAATCTATGCAGTGCCTTTGAGCCACAACTCCACACTCCAACTCTATTTTCCCCATTTTAATTTTACATGCACTCCTTGCATTTCTTCTTGTATGTATCTTCCTAGGTACCACGTTAATTTTTTTTTCTTTTTGGTGTGCTGCAGATAGGCCATCCTTGACTAAAGGTCTGTGGTTACCAAAGGCGGCCTCAGAAATTTGAGAATGGCTCCAAAGAGAGGCTGAGAACTGCTGGAGGCTCATTCTTCCCCGGAGATTGTGGAAGAAAAGCATATATAATTAAAGTGATAAATTGGATTTTTTGGGTTCTCTGTTTACCACTGTCAAACATAATCTATTTCATGCAGTTATACAGAATGCATAAAATAGGTCAGAATTAATTTTCTTCAGTTTGCTTATTTTCCCCTCCAGTTCCCCGGGTAGATGTGGAACCCAGACGGAAGCAGGAAGACTGGAAGCTGTGTGTACTTAGAGGAGACGGTAAGGGATTTAGTGCACTGGGCCCTGGGAGCTGGACACCCACAAGCAAGTAAACAATGACAAAAGGTAATGAGTGTCCGGGACAGAGTAGGATGAGGAGTCAGGCGCAGCGGGAGTCCTGGCTCAGCAGAGCAGATTGTTGCTCTCCCGTCTGTTCTCCAAGTGCTGGTTCCTTTGCTCGTCCCTGCCACATCTCCCACCCTCGGTCTCCCTGGCTGCTGAGCTCTTTTCCTCCGCATACGGACACGCATAAATATCCCCCGAACAACCCTCTCTCTTAGGTGCATCCCATCTTTCTCTTCCATCATTCCAAGTCTACCTTCCCCACCTGCTCTTCTATGCTCCCTATTCACCCCCCAGTTCCCCCTCAGCCCCTACTCCACTCAGCTGCTCCTGCCAGTCGCGAAGCCTTCTGTGCTGCCAGCTCCAATGAAGGGCAGCTCTCTGCCTTCTGCTTCTTTGGTGGCTCAGCAGCATTTCCCACAGCTGAATGATGTCCCACCGAAACACTTTCCTGCTTTGGTGTCTCTCACATCGCCCCAGCTTCTACCTGGCTCAGTCTGTTGGCTGGATTTGCTTCCTTTCCCTGATACTGAAGGAACGGATGCTCACAGTTTGGTCCTGGCCCCTTTTTCCTTTCCGTACTTATACTGTCTGTCTAGTCCCATGGCTTTAAATATACAAGTGACACCCAGATTGATACCCCTGACCTGACCCTACGTGTGCCACAGACTTCCGGCCTGAGTACATACAGTTTCCGGCGGCACTCATCCACCTGCGTGGCTCACACTTACAAGTCTGAAATAAAACTCTTCACCCCCCTCCTTGCAATCAACAGTCTTTTCATTGTATCTGCCCTTCTCTCCATCATCAGTTTCCTTTTTTTTTTTTTTTTTTTTTTTTTTTAGCGTACTGGCGAGTCCTAAGGTACACCTTCCCCCAACCTTAGAAAAAAATACCTGAGGCAAGTTCTAAGTTGCCTAGGCTGGCCTTGAAGCTGTGACACTGCGGCCTCAGCCTCGGAGTTTTCTCAGCCCCGCCCCCAGCTGCTCAGATAGAAACTCAGGCTCATGCTTCCCGTCTCGGGTATCACTACGTTCTATTGATTCCTCTCTAAAATACATCTCAAATCTCCTTCTCTCCCCAGCTTCCCGGAGACCCCCACATCCTTCTCCTACGTTACTGCGTCAAGGCCTTTTTGTTCTTTATTTTTTTCTGTTCCTTTGCTCTCACCTTCCTTTCTTTCCATTTCACACGCAGAAGGAAAAAGCGACCTACTCATGCATGCGCAGACCCATGTAAGAGCTCCTCTGCCTCAAACCAGCGTCACTCTACAGTTTGCGCAAGGAGAAGGCAGCCCAGCGATCGATCCCCTCTGCATGCCTGCCCGCGGGGCTCCTCTTACACGCGTGCTCGGGGTGACCTTCCGGCTTTGCTAAGGCCGCAGTGTCCTCCTTTCCCGCTCAGCCTTCGTTTACTCCTCCCTTTCCTCCCAGGCTCTTCCCCAGGCTACCACACCCCCCGTTCACCCCTCCTCAAACCAACGGGTGAATGAAGGAATAAATAAGTAATACACGAGGAATCGAAACATTCTTAAATAATCAAGAGACTTCAGCAAGTACACACTGTTATATTTGCTTCAGGCTCTTCTTAAAGAAATACACTACTCGGGACCTACGGAAGCGGCAGGTACACTCTGCCAATTCCAGTCTCCTCCTCCTCTTTCCCAGATTAACCCCCGCGTTATCGCACACCCTCTCCCCACGCGTGTGCCCCAGCGACCCGCAGCCAGCGCTGGGTGTCCCCGCTGTCTGGCCCTGTGCAGGAAGCGGGGAGCACTCTGCACCCCCACCCCATTTCCTGGGCGTTGTTTGTGAGGTGGATTCAGACCGGCAGAGGTGGCTTCCCTGTCACGTGCACTGTGGCACAGCATCATTGTCCAACCCCATCTCTTCACCTAGAGGAGAACGGTGCCCATGTCGTTGGCCACCGTGAACTCCGCTGCTGAGAACATCTGTACACATCTCCTTGGGCACAGGTTTGAGAGTTTCTCTGGGGTAAAACCTTAAAGCCAATTTGTGAATAACAGAATATGTGTCACTTCAACTTTGCTACATAATGCCAGATTGCTCTTTAAAATGACTGGACAAATTCCTTCTCTAAGGCAGCTTGGAAGAAATTCCCCCAGCTCCACTTTCTCCCCATAGGATGGCTCCGCGTTCCGACCACCAGGAGGCGCCAGGCAGCACGCGGGACTCGGCTCTGGTTGCCGCATCCCCCGGCTGGTGGTTGGTGGGTGGATGTCAGGTGGGTGGGCGCCAGGATGCCACAGGCGCCTGCGCAACCGTGCCAAACCTCTGGGTCGCTGGGAGCTGGGGGTCTAATTTTCCTGTCCCCTAACTCTTTTATAAAATTTGAAAGCAGTGCAAAACAAAAATTTCCTCATCTTGAACGTAAACTGAAAAAGGTTTCCGTTTCTAAAATGAACATCTACGTATATGCTTGAAATCCAAAACATACAAAGCCAACATTTTCCTTTCACATATCTATTTGCTGTGGATGTTTTCTTTAAGATATAAAGCAGTTCTCACTGGTCTTTTCCCACACTTCCTTCTGGGAGGCAGCTGAGATCCTGAGTTTGGTGGGCGTCCAAACTACTTATTTTTATAACATGTGTAACTTTCCATAAACAACTCATAGCCCTGTTTGTTTTTACTCTGTATTTAATATTCTGCAAGTTTCTTTCCTACCTACCCAATGTTGTTTCCAAAACACATCTATATTGATGCTGGTATCTCCAATGTACTATTTTCCTCTCTTCCTAAAAATGTCTTTGTAGATTGTTTTTTGTTTCTGGCTGTTTAAATAGTGGTGCACATACATTCTATGAGGGCACAATTCTTTACCTCTTGTTTATGCTCAATTCTTAGTCCCCGGAGTTTGGTATGGCACATAGTAGGTGCTCAGTAAATATGTACTGAGTAAATGAATGAACAACTTCATACATGTCTCTAAGTTGCTCAAATGCAGAATTTGTCCATAAATATTGACATATATATATATATATATATATATATATATATATATATATACAGTGCCTGGAATTTGGAAGTCTTCATTCTCCAAAACCATTGTACCAACTACAAATCCCCAGCACTTTGAGAATTTTGCTTTCCCCTTACCACCTTTAGTATTTTGAGATTTGGTGTCTGTCCAATACTGCTGTATATAAAATCATACCTTATCATTGTTTTAATTTGTGTTTGTCTAATTCCTTTCAGATTTTCCTCACCTGAGATTCCCCTGGACTTCCTGGTGGCTTCTAGGTTAACAGAGGAGCAGGAGTGGCTGGTGTGGCGCTCCAAGGACACAGTGTGACTGCTGCACACATCTCCCTCTTCCTCCTTGGAGGGATTTGAGCACATGTGCCAGGCCAGTTTGGAGGGCTCCAGGTCTGAAGAGCACAGCCTGAAGACCGAGGGTCACCCTCCTCTCCCAGGTCCACATGAGCTCTGAAGCCCCTTGTTGGAGGATGGGGAGGTTCATGGGTGCCCACGCTGGTGTGTTATTTTTTAGGTCTTCATCTGGAGAAGGCCAACCAGAAGAGCTCTATGGCGGGGGCTCTGGTGTTTGCAGCTGCCTCGATTCCTCCAGAGATCCCGTGTGTAACCACAGGGCAAGTTGTCTCTGGTGTCCCCAGCATGACTGCACTTACAGTAGACACAGCACCTGGGCTGGGTGGCTCCTCTGCACTTGGTGAGTTGACCACTGTTTGGAGAAGGGGAAACAGATTTGAAGGTAAGGGGCAGATGTTGAAGCAGAGGGGGTGAAAGTGGGCAGGGAAACTGAGGTAGAAGGCTTGGATAATCAGGACATGCTCTGGCACAACAGGAAGGGATCCTGGAATCCTGGACTGAGCCCAGCACCAGGGGTCATTGCCTTGGTAAACTGGGATATGGCAATGGCCTGATTTAAATGTGACACCAGTGAATCAGGCAAAACAGTGGGTGTGCAGAAGCCAGTGCCAGCTGCCATCTGAAAGACAGATATTTCTGGCACGTAGGGATGACACTCACTTGAGATCCTTTCCCATTTGAAAAGCATTAAAAAATCATAACTCGCAAGCCCAGAGGGCGAGCGCTCTGACTTAACAACCCTTCGACTTTCTTTTGCAAAGCATTAAAGTCATTAACTTCCAGCAAGAGGGAAAAGTAGGTTCTTACTTAAACTCTTATCTTCTGAAAAGTCTTAAAACCAGCAGCAGTGAGGCCTCGTCTCTCTTTGACAACGTTAAATCGTAAAGCACCACACTGCTGCTAAGTAATGGGGCCATTCTGTCAGAATGTAACTTAAGAGAAATTGGACTTAGTGACATGTCCTTTACTCAGAAACCTAGGGTGACTCCACACTGTTGATCAGATGTGGTCCGTATGCTTTGGCGCAAGTTTCTCCTGCCCTTTCACCACCTACTATGTGTTCTCTGCCGCCCACTGGATGACATTACTTCATCTATGCCACCCGATTCCCCTATCTTTCCCTCCCCTCCCTGACACCCACTCATCCTGCCCACCTCTTGCTCTAAGCCTCCCTGGATGGACTCTGCTCCCAGCACATACTACTGCTATTTTAAATATCACCAAACATTTATATATCCTTTTAGGATATCCAAGCATGCCCGCTGAGTGTCTTTGAAAGGTTCAACTTTTTGAATTTCATCACAGTCACTCCTCTTACAATAGCATTGCTGAAATACTTATGCACTGTGTATTTTCCAGCTCTATGCCTCCATCTTTGCATTTACACCTAAGAGTATATGTGTGTCACATAGTCCTCCACTAGCTTATCCATCTGCTAGATTAGTTTCTTACCACTTTTTTCATTTTCCTGAAGATAACAGGCATGTGACAGCACAGCAGTTACTCTATGTTTATTGAGCATACATGTGCCCAAAACTGTGCTAGGTGCTTGAGGAACAGACAGAGCCCTCAGACTCTAGCAGGAGAGACAAATCTTAAATAACTGAATGAACTATCATAGGTCATCAAGGATGATGCTGGAGGACGTATGGGGAACTAATGGAAAACTTCCTCGGAGGAGGTGATATGTAAGTTGAAACTACCAGGTGTTAGTATGACCTGGGACCTAGGCAAAAAACTAAGGGACAAAGCATGCCAAGCAAAGGGAATAACCGGTGCCCAGAATGTCAGATGGAGAGAATGCACAGCATCTGGTAGTGTACAGTAAAGGTTAACTCAGCAGGTTGGGTTGCCCTGCATAAGGACCAGATGCTGATAGATGACCTCTGAACCCTTAGGATATCCTGCCCAGTAAGTATGTATATCTAAGATCTTGGGCCAGCCAGATGGTTCATGCTAATCACATGGTCTGTGGGGGACACCTGTTTCTACGTGCCGAGGCTGCTTTGAGCCGTGCTGTTTGAATTTGACTTCTGCTGGGACTGGAGACGGAGTGGTTAAGGTCAGTCAGACACATGCTGGATACTCATACGACTGACCCCACATAAAAACTCTGGGCAGCAAGGTTCAGGGGAACATCCTTGGCTGGCAGTATTTTGTATGTGTTGTCATACGTTATTGCTGGGAGACTTGAGCACTGTGTGAGTGCTCTGGGAGTGGAAAAGTGGAAGCTTGGGCCTCCCTTCTGGAATTTTGCTATGTGCCTTTCTCCTTTCCAGGTTTTAGTTTGTGGTCTTTCACTGCAATAAACCACACACAAGACTGAAACAGCTCGTGTGAGTTCTATGACTTCTTCCATGAATCATCCAAATGAGAGTGGTCTTGGGGGCCCAGACACAGGTAGGGAAGACAGGACAAAGGCTGGGGAGACAGGAGCATCTGAGGGAGGGAGGGAGGAGATGAAAGAAGGAATTGGATTACTCAGATCCTTATACATCAGTCAAGAATGGCATGATCCTGCCTCTCTGATTGACCCCAGTATGGTTACTTTATTTATAAAATTCTACTCTGTGGTCCCAGCTACATCTCATGCAGGGTACCAACAGGAAATATGCAAATCAAATCACTTTCTTGGGATGGAGGAGCCCATGGGCACACAAACCCACTGGAGGAGATAAGCAGTGTCACTCACGGGATGGCTGCCCTGATTGTCATTTTCCATAGGGCCACCTTGGCCTTGGGGCAGAGTTGCTACTCAGCATATATGAGTAAAGAAGAGCTGGTATGTTTATTGTAAAAGCTGAGAGCACAATCCCAGAACTGTTTGCCATACTGAAATGCCACATATTGAAAATATATGCATGATGACAGAATCAGTCAAGGGAAAAATGGGATGAGTGTGGTTGAAGCAATTTAAGTAACTCATTGGCACAAAGGACCCCGGTGTATCAAGGATGCACATGTCATCAGCTTTAGGCATGGAGAGCACCTAGGTGTTTCTCAGACTGCTGCTTGTGTGGGCAAGCATGCTGCCTTCTCGAGAGGATGCCCTGAACCCATGATAGCCTGAGAAAGCTTGAATCACAATGGAAGGCCGGGCATGGTGGTGCATGCCTATAATCCCAGCACTTGGGAGGCTGAGGCAGGAGGATTGTTGTGAGTTTGAAGCCAGCCTGGGCTACAAAGTAAGCTCAAGGCCAGCCTGAACTGCATAACAAGACCCTGTCTCAAAAGGACAAACAAAACAAAACACAACAGAAGATGGGCTTATGTAACTTACTTCTAAATCAGCCGGGGACTACATTTCTGACAGTGTTGGAGAGTTGAGAAGCCAGTTGGGGACATGGACGGTGCTGGGAGCTGGCTCACTCCCAAGTCAGAGCTGTGCAGAGGAAGAGCTGGGCAGTATTCTCTGTTCCAGAAGCCATGCGATCAGAGGGCTCCAGGGATGGTCCCCTGAGTCCAAATGCCCAGATTCTGGGGAACCCGAGATGCTGTTATGTATTTTCTAATCACAATCTGAAGGGGGAAGGCAGTGTATCATGAGCTCCAAGTCAGCATGTTGCTTTACTGTGTGACTTTGGGCAAGCAATTTAAAAACTCTCTGGGTCTCAGTTTGCTCATCTGTGCATTGGTTATGGAAACAGTACTTTGTCCATAGGTTTTATTTCTTGAGGAGTGAATGAGGTACTGTCTGTAAAGTACTTGGCCCAGTGCCTGTATACATTAAGGGGTCAAACAACAACAAAACCAGAAAGGGCATTAAGGGTTTTTAAATAAATCATCAGATGTAACAAGACATTTTTTGGGGGGGCTCCATGCCAGTCACACATGCCTCAGAACTGTCCTGCTGAGTGAGGACATCCGTGTGCTCTGAATTAGGTGATAGCGGATGCCACAGGATCACACTGTTTCCGCATCTCACACTGATGAGAGTTCACTATTTGGGCCTTCAGGGCCAGGCTGTGTGTTAAAGAGCCACCCGCAGTTCAGATGCTATTGTCTTCAGCATCAGGTACAGTAGAGAACAGGGGTGTTTTCTGGCCTCCTAAGAAGATGAAGAGATGTGTCACTGGAAGGCATGCACATAAGATGGGTCCTGTGCCCAGCTCTGACAGTGAAGATAGCCTTTTCTGTGTCCCTGGAGCCAAGAAAAGTCTTGTCACATGTACGTTTGCTCAAAGAAACAAGAGCTCTGGGTTCAAGAGATGACTTGGGTTTTTGTCCCAGCTTCTTCAACCCAAGTGTGGTTTCTGGTATGTTATTAATCCCTTTAGATCTTAGTTTCATTGTCTGTGAAAAGGAGAAAACACCTGGCTACCTGAATCACAGGGTTAAGGATAAACCAATAGGAACAAATGTAGGAGGTATAATCAACAAATATGAGTATTTAAAAATTATTACAGTAAAAGACACATCGCTGTTAATCCCCCTCAACATAACCCTTTGCTTCCAACACACTTATCTCATTGTGCTTGCCACTTTCTGCAGAAGTTCTGGAAGTCCTCTTTTGAGAGTGTCTCTAGTTGTGCTGTTGTAGCTGCCTCAGTGTCCTGAATTGATTCAGAACATTTACCTTTCATAGTCATTTTGTCTTTTTGGAAAAGCCTCAGGTTGCACAGCACCAGATCTTGTGAACACCTGGCTGAGGACATGCTATAATGTTTTTATGAGACTGCCTTTCTTCTCGATGGCACCGGTAGCAGCATTCATATATTTTTTTGTTTGTACCAGGAATTGAACTCAGGATCTTGCACTTGCCAGGCAGATGCAAGCTGAGCTATATCCCTGGCCCTTATCATATTTTTTATCACACCTTGTAGACACACAGAAGAGGGCATCCAGAAATGCTCAGAAAGTGGCAAGAAGGATGGGATAAATGTATTTAAAGCAAGGGGAGTATATGACAGGGCTAATGGCAATGTGTCTTTTACTGTGATAAATCTTTTTTAAAAAACCAAACATTCACCATATGTTTTAATCATCCTTTGTATGTAAACCCAACCACATGGTAAACACTTCATAAATAATGGCAGTAGGACCATATAAGCAAGCACAGGACAGTCATGACTAAGGATGACATGCCTCAGTGGTGACTGCTGCTATTTTGTGACAGCAGTTCTGCGAGACCATATCAGTTTCTTTCCTAGAAAGAATGTTGAGATGCAGACAGCAGAAGGTTGGATTTGAGGCCTGGAAAATGGGTGCAAGTCATTCTGCGAAATGGTGTATGGTTTGGATCAATTTCCCACCCAGGTAACATGCTCATTATGGTCCTGGGGAGACCTGATTTTGGGCTTAGTAGGGGGAAGCAGGGAATAAGGAGCAGACCTCCTCAGCCAGGGGAAGGTCAGCAATGAGCCCCTTGTGGACAGGGTTCCTTCAGGCTATGAATGGTCCTAAAGGAGCTGACTGAGGCCAGTTCCGAGAGGTGTCGGGCTCTATTTTCACTCTAATCCTCTCTGCAGTGGGAGGCTGTGTGCCAGGGCGTACAGCCTGTCTGCCATGTGACCTCCAACCCAGAAAACACAGGACCCAGGCAGAGCACGCTGCAGGGGATGTGGAGGTGGGAGACTCAGGCTAGCGGGGAAGCTTCTCAAAGAACAGCCTGGCTGGTTCTCCTCTCAGCCTGACTCCAGTTGTTTCCGCATCTGTCTGGGAGAGGAGTCCAAGAGGTGATTAGCAAAGACCCCTGGTGATGTGGTTTCCAGATAGGAATGTCCCTGTGCAGCGCAGAATCCTGACCACGTACCACAGCAGACATACAGTGGAACTTTAAAAGCACAGGCGTGGAAGCAGCTGTTGCTGGAGCTATGCTCATCAGCAACTGATGGAAAAAACGCTCATAGATACGGAGAGTGAGTGATGTCTACTGCCATGCTGGAAACCTAGCCTGGGAAGGTAGAGGGACTGGGGGTGCCTGCCAGAGATGGCTTAAAAGGTAAATGGGTCCGAGTTGGCTTTTCTCCCCTACCAAGATGTGTGCGTGCCCGTCTGTTCCCGCCTCTACTCCCTTAGGACATGAAAGCTGGTGACAGCAGCTGCTGCCTGTTGGTCAGATGCAGTGGCTCTCAACTGGAACAGATTTTGTTTACAAGGGATATTTGGCACCGTTTAGATACATCTTTGGTTGCCACAACTGGAAGCAGGGGTGCGTCTTACTGGCATCTAGTGGGCTGCTGCGAAACACCCCACAGTGCACCAGACAGCCCCAAGTGTCAGGGGGGCTGAAGCTGGAAAGCCTGGCCTGGTGCAGTGCAAAGGTGCCTTTTCAATGGAGGAAGCTCACTGCCCACATCTACCATCCCAAGTGGACAGTATGGGAAAAGGTCACGGTTCATCTCTTACTCTTCATGTGCGGGCAAATACAGAAGAAAGGGTAATGAGAAGGCAAAGAATTGGGGGGCAGGGATGAGCCCAAATGGAGCTTTGGGCCAACATTTCAAGGTAGATGGGAGGATAAGGGCAGAGTTTTTCATTTCAAGTCAACTCTTACTTATTTAAAAAGCGATTTCCTTAAGCACATAATTATATGTTTATTTCCCTAAGGAACTCTTGAGGCAGAGGAGACCTGCTTAAATTATGGGGAGGGAGGCTGCACACAGGGCTTTAATGGGGTTAGAACAATTTTGTCTCCTTCACAGGAGACTTGGGCGGAAGGGAAGGGCAGAGGATGTGGGGAGCTGGAGCAAAAGAGGAATGGAGAGGTAGAAAAGATGAGGGCTGGTTCTATGGCCCCAGCAGGTCAGGATGGTGTTCAGACATGAATTTGGGCTGCAGCTTCAAACCTTCCACCTATTTCCCCATCATTAACCTTAAGAATGGAGCAAAAAGGTCCAGAAGGGGGCCATTTACACCTACTTGCCCTACTTCTTCCACTTGAAAGTATGGGTAAGCACACACCTGTGTATACACACACACACACACACACACACTGTCCTTTGAGAGATGCTCAAGACACAGGCTGGGCACGCTGACAGGGTAGGAGTGGTAGGGTGGCAAGGTGGCTGGAGCTTCTGGTGAGGCGGGGAAGGGTTTCATTCAGTGAGTGCTCTGTGCTATTTCTGAATCCTTGGCTGCAGCCTGACTGCTTAGAGTTGTGGTTTCTTCTCGTTGGGACATATTCTCACCTGGAAAGTCCAGGTAGAAAACCAAGAACAAGTGAAGGAATGGATTCTTCAGATTCAACTCAGAGAAGAAAATGGGGGGGGGCATCTTACAGTATCTGATTTTTTTGTTTGTTTGTTTTGGTTTTGGCTTTGTTCCGGTACAGGGAATTGAACTCACAACCTTGCGCTTGCCAGGCAGGCGCTGTGCCGCTGAGCTAAATCCCCAGCCCCCAGCATCTGATTGCTGATGCAATGGGTGATGGGTTTTTTGTCCAGAGACAAAAAACTGAGTTGGGTGGTGGTGGAAGGGAGAAAGTACTGAGGAACGGGTGGCTCGGCCTGGCTCTGGCCTGGGCTACAAGAGGTAGGATCTATAGGGGACTCTTGACTCTTTCCTCCCCTCTGTCTTCCTGCACCTGGAATGACAGACATGGCTTCTAACATCTATTGTGTGACAAGACTCTGTACCCATACTCTCAGGAGCTATGAGTCCTAAGAGCAGGAATTGTATCTTAGTCTACTGGGGAGCCTCCATTTCTAACAGTCTGGTACACAAGACATTCAAAATGTATTTCAGGATGAAGTCTACCTTATTCAGTCCAGCCCGCAGTGATTCAGGCTGGTGTCATAGCACGAAGTCCATTTGGTCACTGTATGCCATTCACCCCGTCGCTCAGAAGCTGGAAGTGTGTGTGTGGATGGCAGAGTGGAAGGCAACATGGAGGGGGATAACATCTGAGAAGCGTGGCCAAGATTCATAACCCTAGAGCTTTTATTTATCAAGTATCTACTCTGTACAATGTGTACAGCACCCAGACTGTCTCATTTCCAGCACTCCTCCGTCTGAGGATGAGGTCGGAGGAGCGGAGGCTGGCAGGAGACGGTAGAAGATGCCCACCCAGGGAGATGGAGATGATGGTCATCTGTGAACATGACATCCAGGCCGTCTCTGCCTTGAGCGGGGCAGGGGCGACACACATGGAGCAGGGGGGCCCAGGCTGACGGGCTGCATCAACAGTGATCTGCTGGCCTGGGAGTGTCAGAGACCTGGGGATGCTGGGATTTGCATCCTTTTCATTGACCAGTTCCCCAGAAATCATATCAAGCATCATCAGTGAATAGATACAGTTTCAGAATCTTCAAGAGGCTGAAGATATGTGTTGTGGTCCTGACCCACCTTTCCACTTTGTAGAAGTGACCTTGGGTCTCTCTGCGCCTTAGCAACCTCATCCAAAGAACAGGGAGGGTCTGTGCCTTCCCTGCAGCACAGGGCTAGTATGAAGTCTGGGGGCGCTGTGTAAGTGCTGTGCAGCGTGAGCTGGTTCTTGTACGTTATTTATTCAAGGAAGCAGCACTAGGAACCCCTTCTCCCCGCTTCAGTGGTACCCAGGTATCCTGTCAGTCAGGACTCACCTGCAGAGAAAGGCTACTTCAGTCCAGCGGAAGCCAGTGGGAACTGGAGAGTTTAAAGCTTGAGTCTACTTCTGTCTCCGGTCCTACCTTCCACATAGGCAAGGGAGTGGGGGCCTGGCAGAAGGCTGCTGAGGCCCTTTATTTAGTTCGTTGGTAGAACTGGAAGACTGCTTTCTCCTGCTCGTAGGTCTCGATGGAGCCTGGTCGAAGGCGCCGGATTTCAGCAATGGCGTCTCCTGCAGCCAAGCCCCGCTCCTTCACCAGGTAGCAAGCCAGCATGGTGCCAGTGCGGCCGAATCCCAGGGCACAGTGCACTCCCACGGCCTGTGAAGAGGGAGCTTGGTGGAATGGGGCTTCCCCCAAACTCTCCTGTCCCACCTGGGCAGCATTCCTACTCCGTACAAGTCTGAGATTCTCAGAGGACAAGAAGTACCATCAAAGGGTTCTAGACCCGGGCTCTGAGCTACCTTCCCAGATTTACCTTTGCTGTCCAACATGGAAGCCACTAGACATATATGGCTACTGACGACTTGAGAAGTGGCCAGTCCAAATTGAGATGGGTGGTGAAATATTCACCAAGGTTTGAAGATGCAGCATGAAGGAAAATGGAAATAGCTTACTCAAAATTTATTACAAACTGGGCATGGTGGTGCCTATCTCTAACTCCAGCACTGTGGGAGGCTGAGGCAGGAGGACTGTAAATCTGAGCCCAGCCCGTCTCAAAAGAAAAAAAAAAAGGCTGGTATGTAGCTCACTGTAAAGGTCCTCAGTTCAGTCTCCCGTATCTTTCTCTCTCTCTCTCTCCATCTCTCTCTCTCCTCCTCACACACGCAAAGTATTTGTTTGATACTGATTCTATGCCGAAGTAATATTTTTGATTTACTGGACTGTTTCTAAAATTATTTTCACCTGTTTTTCACCACTCCTGAAAAATGCTGTGGTTGCTAGAAAATTTAAAATTCCAGATGTGTCTCCACTGTATTTGCACAGCACTGCTCTAGAGAATGGTAAACCACCTCCTTCGGTTTCAACTCCCTCTCTCCCACATCTGCTCGCCCCTTTTCTCGCTTCTCCTCTCCGCAGCGTCTGCTCCTCTTTCCCCGCCTCCCCCGCCAAGCCAGCTCACTCCGCCGCACCCCTCTTCTCGACTCCTATTCGGACCACCCCCGCCCCGCCCCGCCCCGCCCCGGCTGGTCCTTGGTCGCGCCCGCGGCTCCGGCTCGCTGACCTCTCCCCGGGCGTTGGCCTCGTCCACGATCTGCACGAAGCGGTCGATCTGGTCCGGGGCCGGGGGGCAGAAGTCCGGGATGCGCAGTCGGTGCAGCGTGAGGCCGGGACAGCTGTCGGCGTGGGGGGGCCCGCGCTCAGTCAGGGACACCAGGTGTCGCACTCCCAGGTCCAGCAGGAACTGGTAGTGGGCGGGGAGCCGAGGCAGCGCCAGCCCCGCCAGCCGGCCCGGGAGCACCCAGGAGAAGTTAGGGGGCTGCACGCCCATCGCTGGGGGAGGGCACCAGGCAGGGGTCACCCGGGGTGTCCGGCCCTTCCGGCTCCGCCCTGCCGTCCGCCAGCCCTCTGGGCGGGTAACGGATCCCCAGCCTGCACTGGCGCCTCCCAGCCACGTGGTCCGCGGGACACCGCCCCCGGGTGACGCTCTTCTCCGCGCTCGGGGATTGGCTGAGCCGTCGGGGCGGGGCCGGGCCACCTCCCGAGAGACACAGGCCCTGGTGGCCTCCCAGCGGGAACCGGACATAGGGGGTTGGCTGGGCGAGCCGCAGCTGTGGGATTCCCGCAGCCTTGCGCAACTCTGACGAGAAGGAAGAAAACGTGGTGCACTTTGTTTTCTGTAAACAAGCAACACGGGGTCGGACTCTGCTGCTCCCTAGTGGTGCGCCACTGCCCCTACCCATGGGCCTGGCCTCAGCTTACCTTCTTTGCAGTGGATGCCCACAGGGTTTAAGAGCAGAGAAATCTACTTCTGCCTTTGAGGCGGACTCTTCTCTCCCATGACTAGTCATTATCAGGGTCTTCATCTCTTTCAGTAAGGAGAATTATTACCTCAAACGTGGCTGTTTGCATTTCTCTATTGTTGGTCTGTTAAAAAAATACTGAGCTGCCATGTGGCATCCTAAAATCTTAACCAGAATCATATTATAGTAACAGTAACAGACAATAATATAAGGGCGTTTATTGAGCATTTACTATGTGCCAAGTACTCTTAAGCACTTTACATGTATTAACTTCCTAAATTGACACAATCTTCTTATGAGATAGGTGAACCAATTAATTCCCTTGTCCAGATGAGAAAATTTAGGCACTGGAGGGGTTAAGGAAGATGACTGCTGGCTCCTGAATCTTTCACCACACTACTTTCCCTAAAGTGAAACAGAAAATTACATTCTCTTCACACCGGCACCCCTACTCCCCATAAATATCTAGCTTAAAAATGGATTTCTTTACTTTAAAAAAATTTTTCATATGTGGTTGTGGTATTTGAAGATTTCCGGGCCTTCTAGGTCACCCTGCCCTGGGAAGTCTGGAATCTGTCAGTGCCGTTCTTCTAAGTCAGAGACCTAAATCTGCACATAGGCTCAGCTGGGATCTGAACAGTCCACCCGTGTCTGTGAAAATGGTTAACCCTTACTGCACTGTCTCCCAGACCAGGCCCTTTGCCAGATGCTCTCTGGAAGAAACACGCGTGGAAGATATTTTGCATTCCTTTTGTACCTGAGTACCTCGAGACTTAAAGAAACCGGAGTTCCTGGCCAAGGACACACTGATCTCACCTGAGGGCACTTGGGCATAAGATGCACTCCTCCCGCTTCCACGCCTGACCCCTGCCACACACATCCTGCCATTGAGTTTGCTGGCTCCGGCACAATGAAAAAAGACAGCGGGAAACACTCTCCATGTACCCAGACCACTGCTCTTCCAGGTTCCGGGAGCCGCCAAATCTCCTCTTGTGTGCTGTCCTCACAAGCAGAGTCCTGATTAAGCGCTTCCTGTAAGCACTCCCATTTCCCGTTCACTCCCCAGCAATCTTTAGAGCGGCCCAATTCACTCCTTTTCCCGTTTCTCAGCTGTGATTTCTCAGTTCTGTCACCCCCACTCCACTTTTCTCCATCCAAGTTCCCTGGCCTTGCTGTCTTTTGTTCCTTTCACTCCTCAGGGAAAAACTTCCCTGTACGCCCCTTCCCTGCCTCCTTGATAGCCAGGTCAAAGCCCATCTTCTAAAAAACAAAACAGACTTTCTAGGGGAGATAGGGATTCTTTTCTTCCCTGTGCTTCTAAACAGTAATTTTTCCCCCTTGAAGTTGGGTCTCTGTGAAAGATGTGCACCTCTAGATGTGCACCTGCCAACCCTCCCTATGCAAAGGCCAGTTAGTTTCCTTTTTAAGAATTGCTTTCCCATCCTCACCGTTCTGGTCCTTCCAGCAGAACCTGGGTGGAAAGGGCCAGGGTCCTTGCTTGAGCTATGTTCCATTGTCAAGGGATTTATTTAATTTTCTGCATTGGCCCAGGGAGTCTCAAGCCACAAGGAAAACCCCTCTCTGATAGTTTCCTGGCTTGGACCCCTGAGATCAACAGTGCCAGCCCCTGCCTCTTCCAGATGTAGTGCTGACCTTCTTATCCTCTCTTGTTTTGTACAGGGCTATCAGACCCTCCGGAAGATTCAGCCTCTGTCCTCCTGTACCATCTTCTGTAAATATATCCTTAGGGGTGGCAGCTGCTTCATTGAACTGGGGTTACCTATTTGCATAGGAGCCAAGACTGCCTCACTTCATCTTTCATTTCCACACTTCTATTGTGGAACGTGATACACAGTGCTCAAAAACGTTACATGAATGAATGGAGAATAAAGAAGTAAGTAGAATGCACTAGGGAGACTGTGAATGCACCTTTATGGGAGTGACTGTGGGTCTCTAGGACAACGTGATTGTGCACTGGTGGCTCTTTTTGATTACTTGAGTTCCAGGGTTGTATTGAGTATTGTGTAGTATTTCTTTGAGGTGTACTTTATACATGTCTCTCCTTTTAAGGAAATAATGACTATGTCAGTACAATCCTGGTTAAGTCCAATCACTGTTTTTGAAAAAAGGGGTAAGTAAACCTTGCTCTTTATTGAGCTCTGTGCTCATGCTGTGCACGCGTGTGATAGCAGGTGTGTGTGTGTGTGTGTGTGTGTGTGTGTTGGGGGACATATATCTATTCTATTGTCACTGATGGTATGATGAGTAATAAGCTTAAGTAATTTCCCTGACTTCAAGGAGTTTACAACATACTTGGGGGGGATTTAAGCTCAGATATAATTATTCCCAGAACATGTAATAATGTACTAAATTGCTCATCAAAGCAATTGTCATTATCTGGCAATCAGATAATATATATTAAACAGCTAATTGTGCAGCAAAAATAACAAGCATGAAAGAAGTCAGTAGGGGGAAAAGATGAGCTTGGGTAGGAAGCGTCAGAAGTCTTCCAAAGATAGGATCTGTTTTTTTTTTTTTTTTTTTTTTTTTTCTCATTGTGTTCTCTGTCCGCTGGAAAACCCAGCCAGAGAGATTTAGGGCATCCAAGCTTCCTTTTACCCAGTTTATAAGAATATTTGACCTCGTTCATATTCATGTTGTGATCCTAGTTCCCCAGTTGGCTTGATGTTAGTGGCAAGTAGAGGTAAAGTTAGGCTCAGAGAATTCTTTCTTCTAGGTAGGTCATTATGTCCCACCAAAGCAAAGGATTGCTTCATTTGGGTTCCTGTGGACCTTGGACTGCAGTCAGAATTCTCAGTGCCTTACATGTCCTTATTTTTCTATGTTAGTACAGATTTTACATCTGGAACCCAAAGATCTGGAAACTGGTCTAAGAAGAAGGGAAAGGGTCATAGTCTTTAAGATGACCTCCAAGAAGCATCTCATGCCTGCAGTAGTTAGCTCCTATCCCACATTGATAGGACCAGGCTCTATACCCAGTACGTTTATTGTGGAAATGATGTATGAATACTAGACTGAGTCATCAAAGACTTGGTTTTTGCCTTGTTCTGTTGTGGGAAGAGCTGCCATGGGAAACTCCTGGGAAGAATTAGGCAGCATTCCAGCAAGGACGTGGAGAGGCGTGTGCAGTGAGGAACTGAACCCTCTTACCTGTGGTTGTGTAAGTGAGCCAGCTGGTTTGGAAATGTATCCTCTGGCCTCATCAAGATTTTAAATAATTTGCACATCTTGTTCAGAATCTTATGGATTTCCTAAGCCAAAACCACCCAACTAAAGCTCTGCTAAATTCCTTACTCACCAAAAACTGTGAGGTAATAAATATTTATTGTTTTACACAATCAAAATTGGAGCAGTTTGTTGTGCAGCAATATATAACTAATACAGATGGAAATATTCAGTTTGAAGAAAAGAAGAGGAATTCCAATAAACTGAGAAGTGAAATAAAATCCAAACAAGGGTAATTAAAAAAAATAGTCCTAAGCCATTGTGGCCTCTGTGTGTGTGTGTGTGTGTGTGTGTGTGTGTGTGTGTGGTGATAGGGCAGTGAAAATTTTCCACACCTGGGAAACCATGACATGTAGGGGAGTCAATTAGAATAGGTTGGGTACTGGTTTTGGATGTGTACAGTGTTACAGATAAAGGCTTATGTGGTATTTGTGTGGTTAGAGATGACACAGAAATCATTTAAAAAGTGGTCATGTCACTGGAAGTAAGCAATCAGAATATAGCATCCACCAGTCAGAACTAGTGAATACTAGTGCAAACCATAGTGAAGCTATCCTGGTGTCTACCGAGTGTAGGTGAGCTGCGAGCGTTCTGAAATGGCCTGGGTGTGGTCAAATCACCTTGGACATTTTAATATAGGTCTTTCCACAAGATGGCACTGATAGCTTTTCCTTGTTTCTTTCTTTTTTTTTTGTCTTGTTGAAAAATGTGTGATTTGTATACTGTTACAGAACATTCCATAAGTAAAAATTCACGATTTACTAACTGAGGACTTTACTTTTGGTGATCTCACCTTTAGAGCCCTTACAATTATGTGTTTCTTTTTAGATCATTTTAGGGAGGCGTTGAAATTTTTAAATTGGGGAATAATGCCTTATACCAGATGTTATCCTTTTGGAAGTTGAAGATAAGGAAGGAGTTAGAGATTGGGCTTCAACCTTTGAAAAGTCATGCAACAAAGACAGGCGAGAGGACAATCAAGACAGAGCTCAGTTTGATAAGAGCCGTTTTTGCCATGAAAACCATTTTGGTAGACTCTCCCACTTTCGCTTTCGAGCTGCCTTGAATTCAGATGAGGCCAATCCAGCTGGCACTTTGATTGGGTCCTATGGAGACCCCAAGCAGAGGGCCCAGCTAACCTGAACCTGAACTTCTAACTGATGGAATTGTGACATAATAGATAGATTGTTTTTTAGTCATTAAATTTATAGCAATTTGTTATGCAGCAGTAGAAAACTTTCTAGATGCCCCTATTTACTTTTTTTTAATATGCTGGATAAAATTCTCGACCTTTCATCACCATATTATTTCTTGTGTCTTCACTATGTTTTAAGTTTGCTAATCATCAAAGCTATGGACCACTTAGGTCCATTCCTCAGTGCAAACTCAAAAAATGCAGTAAATCAATGATGCCTAGAAGTTATCAGCATCTAGGTTCCTTTAGACAACTTCTCAAACTCCTAGCTGGTTCCCCAGTCTCCTTTCTACCAGAGCTTTTTAAGGTGTGATTGACCCACAATTGGCATCATGTGAAAGCTTGTGAAAAATTCAGACTCTCAGCTCCATCCCAGACAGTGGGATCCTCAGGTGGTTGATCCCACACCCATAGCTAAGTCACCCCTCTGTGACACTGACTTTAATGCAGCTATTATCCCTTCTTCTCGATGGTCATCGGTAGCCCCCAAAGCATGGTGTGGACATGCGTGTGTCTCCTTTCTGGAGCTGAGAAGCTTTGACTGAGCAGGGCTGTAGGCAGAGGAGTTGGTCAGCAGATGGAGAGATCTTAAAAGGACCTAACTGGCTTGGGTGGAAGCTCAAGTCCAGTTAGAAACACCGAACAGTCCCAGATTAGAACAATGCTTTGGCTTTATCCACATGTTAGAAAAATGTCCAAGAAAAATATGCATGAATGTACATGTGCCTTTCCTGTTTTTGTTCTAAGGAAGGGCTTGGTTCCTAGATTTCCTTTCTGGAGGAATGCTTGAGATATCACTCCCTACTCTTTCCCGCTTCTAACTATATTGCAAGCATGGCAGGCATTGCCTTTGTTATTACCCTCCAATTTAAATGCCTCCATCCTCCCTGCAGGTTTGAAGGAAAGGGAAGGACAACTTCCTGTCACATTGCCCTCTCTTTCCTGCTCAGTAGCAGACCTTCTGCTCACCCAAGTGGCACCCTTCCAGAGCCTCGCTAGAGCTCGTCACCTCCGTGGGTCTCTGGACTGGCTTCCTACATACCAGCCTCTACACATTTCCCCTCTGTGCAGCCCTGGTGACTTCACAGAATATAGACCTTATTTTTCTAGTTCTTCTGTAACTCATTATTGCCTTCAAGTGCAAACTCTCAACATTTACAGCATGTAAAGTCCTCCGGGATGAGATCTCCTTTTCTTCAGCCTCATCTCATTGCATTCCTTTGCAACAGTGTTTGTTCCCATCATTCTGAGAAGCGTACAGGTCAGCAGGTGTGCAGAGCTGCCTCATCTGCCTTTGCCCAGGTTGTGCCTTCTTCTGCCTGGCTCTTACCTGTAGCCTGCAGCAACACCTTGTCTCCCTCCAGGTTCAATCTGGGAACAAACTGCTTTCTCTGGGAAACCTCTGCTCCTTATGATTCATACTTTCTGTTCCTCTTCTGAGCTTTCATAGCTTCTCTATGGGTACACTGATTCTATTACATGTTTAAATCATTTGAATTTCTTCTTGCTATATTGTGCAAGTAATATGTTTATTGGGGAAGCACTAAAATACACATGCAAAAAAGAAAAAAAAAAACAATGATTACCTAACTCCTGCTTACATTACAGGGTGTTCAGTTAGGAAAAGAACAGCCACTGTTTGGTTTCCAGGTGTGGAGGGAAACAGTGTAGAGAATTTTAGGCTTACCTGCTTGATGAGCTCCTCAGTAAAGGTCCTAAGTGATCTTCACTTGCAACACCTGGTAAGATGCTCTCAAAGACCTTGCCAGGAAGCTGTCTTCTACCGTAAATCTCAAGAACTGGAAAATTTCCATCAGTATCCCACTAATGTGGGGAGTGGCAAGAAATTCACCTGGATGCTGTTTTGAATCTTTCATTTGCGTATGCATTTGCCTGCCTCTAGCAAGTAATGAGCTCGTCTTTTTTGTCCTTTTACATCTCACATGAATGTCTTTCTTTGACACTCAGTATACATGGGAAAGGAGATTTTTGGAAAAGTTCTGTCTAGCTTCTTGTCTGTAGTGCAGGGACCTTAGAAAATGAATGGCATTGATAGTAAATTTACAAGAGACAGTTCACCTAAAGAACCACATTTTGGTATACCACCTTTTTGATGTCTCTTTCTCTGTGTATATATGTAAGTTAATAATGTACATACAAAGCTCTCTTTAATGTGCTATCTCTATCTGTATATCCATATGTATTTCTCTCTTTTGGCTTCTTGAAGGCTTAATGAGCTTGCTTCTCTATATTTTAGAGCATAGATTCCCAGCACTGGTTTGATGACACCCTGGAGTGTCTTCATTTATCTCAGGGGGTGCCTTGAAATTCACAAAACAAGATTAATTTAAATTCATTTTCATTTAAAAAAGTAAACAGACATTATATAGTAATTACAGGTACAAGTGTGTGTTGAAATCAAACTAATAAATGCTTGCCTTAGAGGGAACTCAGGAGGGTGGGGATGGAGTTGGAAGGGACTAGAAAGGTGGTTTAGCCTGAATCTTTTCTAAAACATCCTCCCTTCCCTTTACCTCCAGATGTTTATTTCCCCAAATTGATCATGTTTCTCAAATTGGGAGTCAGGACTGTTGAGAATAAAAGTTCCCACTATGGAGGGCTGTCTTGTGTGCCTACCACAGGTCCTGGTATTCAGCAGGCCCTCAGGAAATCCATATTGATTGTGTATTTGGCAGGACATAGTGGTGGTGATTGGGAAGGGTGCATGGTACATGTACGTCCCAGCTCTGTGGGACTGGGAACTGTAAGGTTTTTCTTTTCTGCGCAAATGAGAGACAGGACAGGAATAAAAGAAGCCTTTATTGCAGGTGGGCATGGGAGGGCTGCAGGAGAGTGCAAGAACCCTTTGCGAAGGAGGCAGGGGTACGGTGTATTTATTGGGCTGGGCTGGGGGTGGTGTTTACATGGGAGGTTAAGGTGTCCTATCAGGAGCCATAACGGATGGCTCCATAACGGATACAAGGTTGATGAGTCAGTCATTTATTTTAAATTCCTGATACCCTACAAACTCTCAGCCAGAAAAGATCTTTGAGAAAAGCATGGAAATATGGTGAGAAAAAATCGGTTAGCATTGTTTTAGAGGTTTTTTTCTTGTATTTGCAAGACTATCTGGTGTTGTAGTCTTTGCCTTTCTGATTGCGGAACTGTTAGTGTGTGCGAAAATGAAACAGGAAGTTGAGGTTAGGCTGGGAGAAGAAGAAGACGGAAGTTAGTCTTGGAGTGACATGTTGTTGTGGACCCTACACCATGTTGGATCACTGCCGTGATCACCCTGGTTGAGTTTCATATGGGTGCAAACCCATCAGGAACCATAAAGTATCTATAGAGATAGTGACCTGGGTAGCAATCTCATCTTTGAGTTGTAGGACAATATAGGTTCCCAGACAACAAACGAGAAAAGGACTTAAGCTGGGATGTTGTTGGCCTTTGGTGACTTACCCGAGGTTCTTATAATTGGCTTTCTATTAGTAATTTGTGAAAACCATTGAACTGTTAGGTAAGGCAACTAATATCAGCAGGTATGAGTGTTGCTGACTTGCTGCTGAGGATGCAGTCCCAAGGCCATTGTAATGTAACGAATTCTGAATTCTGCACAAGATTAATTGCTTTGAAGCAACAGAGATGGCAGTGGGTTCAAATCCTGATGCTGCTGCTTAAAACTATATAATATCATATAATATAACATATTGCCTTACACCTCACTGCCCTTCTCTATGAAGCAGAAATAATCATAACACCTACCTCAGAGTTGTGAGAATTAAACAAATGAATCCATAAAGCCCTTCAAACAATACCTGGCATAGTGAGTAATCAACAAGCACTGGCTATTGTTATCATCATCATCACAGTGGGCGTCACAGACTTAGGAGGACTAATTTGTAGTAGGTGTTTCAAATAGAGTGT